TCTTTCACATGAGCCTTAAGCTTGTTTTTTCACAGTTACATTTTTCATTTTCCGAGCATAAAAGCATCTAGTAGATGCACAAAGGTAAATGCAAACACCCACACACAGTTTGTTTTCTCACCTGGTGAAATATGCTCTTATAAATCTGCTTTTCTCTTTTTCAAGAGGTTGTTTTTGTTGAAACTGACTGAAGATCAACTGAACCTGTCCTGATTATAAACAGCCATCTCTGGTTTAAGTGGCTCTTTTCTTTACTGATTAGTTTTCTGATTAAACGTTCTCGCTCCAGAGGGAACAAACACTGCAGCTGAGAGGATCATTCAGATTTCATCTTACATTCAATAATAACAAACTCAACAACTTCCATGAACCTTTCTAAACAAGATACTAACTTTTTCAGGTCATGAGAAGGTGGAATCTAGCAGAAGAATTCAATTTAACCGTTTATTTGCTGGGCAGATTTAAAAAAAGATGATTCACTTCTGATCAAATTTCAAAGAGAAAAATTAGTAAAACTTCAAAAGGGATACTTCACCCATTTGCATTCATCTTTGTATCATTAGAAACCTGGTAGTATTTTTGAATGGTCGTGCATCCCGCCCTCATTTTCCCCTGAGACGGGAAATCTTTGTATTTCTTGTCTGAAAAGACGTTTCCAGTGATGCAAAAATGGTAATTTTGCGTCATCGGAGTCTGCTTTGGTGAGAGGGGGTGAAACTACAACGCTAGTTCCTCATGTTTTCAACCCACTGAAGCTACAGACCAATCACAGATCAGTGGGTGGGACCTCACGCCCAGAATCTAAAAACAAAGTCTGCCATCTTGCTTGGAAGCTACGCTAACAGGCTCTGTGGAGAAAGTGATATGGATGAAGGGGATTCTGAAGTCTTGTGCTTGAATCTCTACAAGCCGTAATATAGCGACGAGCAGTTGAGGCTGATGGAGGAACAGGAGGCGGCTGCTGTGCATTCTGGGAGTTGTTGTCTTTCATCCACATGAGCCAAAATTACACTTTCCGCCTTTTCTCGGTCAAGAAGGCTCCAACTTCAAAATGTATTTCACATTTCTACTACATACTGTATATGACCCAATGTCAATACAGATTCACGTTTCAACCGGTGAAGTAGCCTACCCCTTTAAGTATAAAAGCAAGAAAATTCTAAATGAAAAGAAGATGTGCAATCTTTTATTAAACGATTGAGACACTTTTTAATCTTTGTGAATGTCTGAACTGTCTCTTAATTTGGGATCAAGACGTAGTTAAACATTGCTCCTTTTTTGACACATAATTACAAAAACTAGGAACATAAAAATCAAAGGAGCAGTATGTAACTATGACCCCTAGTGTTTAAAATGGGTACTGCAGTTAAATTCTAAACATCATAGAGAGCTGTCTCCCCCCCCTCCTCTCTAGAGTGGATGCTCACACAGGTCACCATGTGGTGGACTCTGAAGCTTCAGTGTTTATCCAGCTCTGCATGGGTCTGTAAACCTTTCTGTGTTCTAACCTCTCTCCATTTTTCAAAAGCATCTCTCGTTGTATTCCTTTTTATATCATCAAATAACATATTAAAACTAAACTTCTCAGGAAAAGAAATTAGCATGAGAAGAAGTATGACTAAGAAATGCCCTCCATCGTCCGGTTGAGTTGATGTGACTGCAGCATTATGAGATCGTCTCTCTGGCTTTATGTGTTCATGTGTTAATGTCTCCTTTCATTTCCAATCTTTAATAAACAGATTAGTGTTTTTGGGTACACTCAGTGCTTCAGACTAAAGGACACAGCTCAAAGTAACCAACAACGACAACGACACACAGAACAGCTAAACAACATGGACGCCCTTTTTGATCAGCACAGATGATAAAGTGCAGACAGGTAAGACAAAATACCTCACAGCAGATAAAAGGAAGAAGGAGAAAGAAACTGTGATGGTGACATTTCCAGTTTTTGATGTGGAGATTCTTTTCAGTCAACTATGTGAAAAGCAGGAAAGGGCAAGGTGACTAATATGTGTGAATCCCACCTGTGGTGATAAAAGACGTGAACCTGCAGGTGGACGCCGCAGGTTCTGCAGGCTGACAAATCAGAAGAAGGAGCAGGTGCACAGATGGAAATATAAGCCAGAGTATTTTTAAAAACGGCTTTTTTGACGGTCATGTGTATGTGACTTCCAGCGTTCCTGCAGGAAGCAGAAACTCGACAAACTGCAGGATTTTGCTCTTCCGTATTGGCTTCATTTTTCAAGACCTTCAAGAGGTTACCACTTGGTTTGGACCCAGCATTTATGACGCAATCTCAGGACACTTAGAGGATCTCATGATCTAGGAAGCATCTGTTTGTGTACGATAGAAAAACCTTAAAATGAAACAATAGATCCAGTATATCGTTATCAAATCAAATCAAGTTTATTTGTATAGCACATTTAAAAACAGCTTCATCTGACCAAAGTGCTTTACAGGCAATGCGTAAAAGCAAGAAAACAGCCCCTGAAACAATCGAACACAAGACGTTGTTGGCAAGTTTCATGCGACAGGTTTTTGTTTTTCCATTCAGCTGTTGAGCCAAATGTCATGTTTGATATTTCACACAGACGCTGAGTTTTGTTTGTGAGAACGGACCGCCTGCTGCGACTTTGATTGACAGCCTCATTCTGTACTGATTCACTGCTTGTTTTCTCCTCCATCTGCCTCACTCCTCTTTCACTTTCATTTCATCAATGAGCTTTATTGTAACACACTTCAAGGACAGTGACGTTGACACGTACCTTTCTGATTTATTTTTCTTCTTCCTGACTCCCTCACCTTGATTTCTTCGCTCTCTCTGACGCACTTTGTGGTAATGCACTTTGCAGGAAGTCCCAACTATTTCACGATTCCTTTCTTCTCTCTGCAGCTCGAGTACAATGTGGGCAGCTCAAGCACCATCGTGTGCTGAGCATGCTGTGAAGAGGATCCTCAGAAGAAAGCTGTGATGTAAGCCTGAGAGACCCTTTCCTCTCAAGTGTACTCCCAGTGATCAGCAAGTCATGCAAATCTTTGATGTACGTCACTTCTCTGTTATATCATCCTCTGAAGATGTCACAAGTCAAAACTTAAGTCGTCCTCATTAGTACGAGAGGAATCTAAACTACGACTTCCAGGTTTGATGCTTTCCCATAAAAGGAAGAATGTGCAACATGTTGCACATAAAGACAGCAGAAATCCCCGCTGGCTGTGTTGTTGTCAGAGCCGTGTTTACATGGACGGGACGGCCGGCTCCTCCCCTTGTGTATAAAAGCTGTTTTAGTCAAGAACTAGAGAGAAGAAGAAGAACATACTCACTGATTATTTGGATGTTTGTAAGAGTTTTTAGATCACGCTCATTCTGTGTCAGTTTACATGAAATGTGAAGCTACAAGCTAACTAAAGAGCGCTAACATTAGCATGCTAACACAACAATGCAGGACACAGGTGATGGTAGCTCGAGCTGAGGACATTTTGTCCGCCGCTTGCGCTTAACTCCTTTGTGTGAACACAAGTGGAGGGGGGGTTGGAGGTGTGTCTCTGGAGGAGAGCGGAGGCTTCAGGATGGAGGAGGCGTGGCCAAACAGCAGTTTTTATTTTGTTTCATGCTGGTGCTCGAGGGGCGAAATCTTCTGGATCATAAAGTCGCACATTCTTCGTTTAATAAGGAATCATATCTTCACTTAATGTCTGTGAAATGAATTAAGTTATTTCTCTGCTCGTTGAGGTGACTCTGATGTATGGGATCGACAGATAAAGTGCTGCATGTGAAGGAGAGTACAGTGACTGTGACCAGAAAAAGGTTTTTAAAAATGCAGCGGTTGTGAAATATGCAAAAAGGTCGTTGTTTTTCATGTTTAATTTCTCTTGTGTCAATCACTTCAGCAGCAACTTGAATAAACAACAGAAAAGTTCCTTTATGTTTCATCAGTCCTCGCCCGCTGCTACACAAACTCATTTTAAATTTAAACAGAAGTTGTGCAATGAATGCTGAGGTTTTTTTTACAGCAGGTATCTTTTCGTCTTAGTGTCACAGCCACACTTGTGCCAACAAATGTGTTTTTTCTTTTCGATTCCCTACGTCTTAGTTGTTCCTAAAGACCTGCTCAACTTCCACCTCAACGGCAAGGAAGTGTGGACAAAGGGAACACAAAGGAAAAATCCTTTCTGCATATTATCCCATATGCTCTTTTTGTAAAGCGTCTCAGATAACACTTATTATGAATTGGCCTTGATCAAATAATGATTGATTGATACTTGTTGGATGACCCTTAATCTTATACATCCGGCACATCTTTAGCAGAAAATGTCATTGTTTAAAAAAAGAACGCAATCTCTGGAGCTCCACAGTCAATGTGACATGTCTCCTGCTGCACAGAGGATTGTAGGTATGCATGAATGCCCACTGCAAAATGCAAGAGGATGAAGTGGGTCTGTCATTAATGTTTCATCTTGTTTTTGGCAAAAAAAAAATGTTTGGAAGAATGAATGTTGATTGAAGTGCAGGCTGTGTGTCTTTGAAGCAGGCATGGTGCACTCGGCACCATATTTCTTGGCACATCAGTGCGGGTTTGCCTTCAATGGAAAAATCAAACCAACCTGCAACAGTTTGGCAACAATAATAAAGTTTTATTATAGTGGCACATCCAAAACTCACAAATATTAAAGGTTTGTCTGCGACCTTTATTTAGAAATGTGAACTTCACCACAGAGCTCTGCATGGGTCGAGCTGATGTCAGATTTTTTTTGACATAGAGGAACACTGACCAAGCTGCCATATTTAATGAGCATGTTGCAATGATTCATTATCACCCTGAAAAAAATAAAAACCTGCAGAAATATCTCAGACATATCTTCTCTGACATCCACATTCAGCCTCATACACTGACGGCAGATTTGTCTTGTAGCATGTTTTAATAGATCACACTCTGCTAAACAACCATGATTCAACAGACTGAAGCAAGCTTCTGTAATGTTACACAGAACAAGACAAACGCTCACAAAGAGGAGCAGTTCATATCCAACATTTGTGAACACCTAAAAACTTTCCATGCTATGTTCAAAATAAACTTTGTTATACCACAACAGCAATCCATCAAACATGCAGATACGTCTCTTAGCGAGTGTGTTAGAGTTTGTTTAACAAGCATTTATAAGATGCAGTTCTCTTGATCTTTGGTCCCTGATTTTGTTTTAGGATTTGGTCAAGTCTTTTCTCTGGAAAGGCATGAGGAGTTTGTGTGCTCTCAGTCTGAACTTCTGATCCCTCACACTGTAAATGATCACATTCCAGCAGCTGTTGGAGGCCAAAATCCAGAAGGCAAAAAAGGAAAAGTTGCACCATTTATTCCCCAAAACGTTCCCGACCACGAAGACAGCGATGGGCGTGAATGATGCGGTAAACGCCACGGTCAGTGTCCCTATTGTTTTGGCTGCTTTGATGTCGGAGAAGGTGGGTTTGGAGGTGCTTTGGCACTCGGACTCGGCTAGGTGTTTCCTGCGCCTCGAGTGCTGCCGGATGCTGGACAGAGAGATGATGTTGATGACCACGGTCCCTCCCAGGAGGGTGAAGTCGAACGCGGGGAAGAGGAGGAGGATGTTCCAGGCCTGGCTGGGGAACTCGCCGATAGTCCCAGAGCGTAGTTACACATCCGGCTGCAGGAGTTGTACTCCAGAGCGATCTCGTTGCTGAAAACCATCGGAGACACGGCCAGGAAGAAGCTCCCCACCCAGGACAGGACGATGAGGATCATGGTTCTTTTGCGCGTGATCACAGAGTCTTTGTGCAGCGGCCTCAACACGGCGATGCTCCTCTCGATCGTCAGCAGGAAAATGGTCGTGATGGAAACCAAAGTGCACCCAGCGAAGATGGGTCCGATGACGTTGCACGGGTGGAAACTCACCAACTGCGAGTTATATGAAATCCACTCTGGTGCAGAGTCGGTCAGCATGAGTGAAATCTCAGCATAGACCGACAGCGGAACGACAAATATCCCCACGGCCAGATCAGCCACAGCCAGTGACGCCTTTAGGTAACCCTGAGATGTCTTGAAGTGCTTGGTCCCAAGAACCACAGCCAGAGTCACCAAGTTCCC